TCTAGTGAAACTGCTCGAAATGAACGTCATTACCAGTCAAAAATTCGCCCTACTGAAACCAACTGAATCCCGATTCCCACATCTTTATGGTTTGCCCAAAGTACATAAACCCAACAACCCCTTACGTCCCATAATGTCAATGTGTAAGTCGCCAACGCATAAGCTTGCCCAGTGGCTAGTGGAGTTATTGGATCCCATTAAGAAGCAATTTTGTAAGTATTCCTTAAAAGATACATTTGAAGTAATCAAATGCCTTGAGCATGTCAACATAAAGGGTAAATTTATGTGTTCATTTGATGTTAACTCATTATTTACCAATGTCCCTTTGGTCAAGACAATTGACATTTTATGTGGTTATATTTCTGTGCATAAGTTTCCGATACCCATTACTTTGGATCACCTAAAACAGCTGTTACTTTTATGTACAAACAATATTAAATTCACCTTTGAGGGCGAACATTTCCGCCAGGTTGATGGTGTCGCTATGGGAAGTCCTTTAGGTCCCCTCCTAGCCGACATATTTATGTCACACGTTGAGAACTTAGCCGAGAACTTAATAGACCAAGCCCATCTGTATCGAAGATATGTTGACGATATCCTGATCATTTGTGAAAACTCAAATCAGGCTACTTCAATTCTAAACCGACTGAACGAAGTACAGAACAGCATATCTTTGACATGTGTAAGAGAGGAAAATGACTGCTTGCCGTTCCTAGATATATTAATTAGTCGAAGGCAGGATGGATCCATAAAACGATCTATCTACAGAAAACCCACATGGACAGGGCAATATCTGAATTACCATAGCTTTTGCCCAGTTCAGTACAAGCGAACGTTAGTAAGGTGCTTATTCAGCAGAATTCAACGAATATGCACCGAGGATACTTTAGAAGATGAAAGAGGAACACTGACCGATATTTTGTTGGAAAATAACTATCCATCAACATTTATCAGGCAGAACAAAATCAGCAGAGCGTCAAAACTAGAACTGCAGTCAGTCCCAAAGAAGGATGTCTTCATCAGCCTTCCGTACAAAGGTGACTCTCAGAGTGCAATCCTTAAGCAGAGACTCAACGCTGCTGTTAGAAGGACTTACTATGCAGCCAGGGTTCGAGTAATCGAAACCACGAAGCCCTTATATTCCCCCAAACCCCCACAGCATGTGAACGATAATGTCACATCCCATTGTATCTACCAATTCAAATGTACGTGTGGTGACACATACATAGGGAGGACTAATAGATCCATGCAAGTAAGGGCCTCGGAACATATTCCAAAGTGGCTTCAGAAGCAAATCAAATCACCTGAACCTATAAATGTTGGTAGCAAACGTCCAAGCTCTTCGATCGCTAAACATATCGTTGAGACAGGTCACAAGATTGATGTGGCTACTTCCTTTACACCTATTTACAAAACATGTTGGGGAGGGATCCTGAAATTTGTTGAAGCCTTAGCTATTAGGAAGTTTAAACCACCTTTATGTATTCATAAACAATTTGTTGTCACATTAAACCTTCCTTGGTAAATTCAACTATTGAAAAACCAAGTTCGATGTACTATTATTTTTTCGCCCTATTGATTTTCATTGTTATTCGGCCTTTAAGTCAGCCTTCCTACCTGACCCCTTTTTATTTTCTCACCCCTTATCTTCATGAGTTTTTATATAAATACCTATGACAAGTACGTGTGTGATCAGATAGTTCGAAATGTGTTGCGCAAATACATTACACGGTTCAGACAATTTACGTCTTCTTATTGTTTTGTCGAAGTTTATCAGGGGAACCAATTGTTTTTAATTCTGTATATTTGTTGGTCAATGGGCTTTAGTTGGTTCGTTTCCCGACGAGAGTTTGTTGTTGCTTATTCTTATTGTTGTTGCCATCTGATCTTCAGTATCGAGTGGGCGTAGGCGGTAGCTGTTGATTTATGTCTGTCGTTCTCCAAGTTTCCGAACCATATAGAAGCACTGACTTTACGTTGGTGTTGAAAATCCGGATCTTGTTCGTTGTGCTGAGTGCAGCAGATCTCTACACTGATTTCGGGTTAGTGAAGGCCTGTCTTTCTTTTCTGATCCCGGCTTTGACGTCCTCTTCTGTGCCGTCGCCGGCTGTAGTTGAAACAATGCTGCCTAGGTAGGTGAAAGAGACAACTTCCTTTAGGTTTCTCCCGTCGATGGTGATTGGTGCTTGTTGTTGTTGGTTGGTTGGTTGGGTATCTTCATCAGCTCTATCTTCTCTACATTCACTTGAAGTCCCGTCTTCACTACTTCGCCTCTTCTGTCAACTTGTTGGTTTTCGCCTGTAGATCTTCGAGTTTGTGCGACATTAGATATAAATCATCATCGGCGAAATCCAAATCTTCTGGGGTCTTTTCATCAGTCCAGCCAGCGTACCCCATCTTCTCGCTCCTCATAGTTTGTTGCATGATTGAGTCCACCACAATCAGGAAGATGGTCGGTGATATTAGGCAGGCCTGTCTTACTCCTGTCTTCACTTCACTTCAAAGGCATCACTGAGCTTTCCACTGTGAATCACTTGGGATATGGCATCCTTATATAGCTGTTTTATGGGGTTGATAAATGCACAAAAATTTGAAGATTACTTTCATCACGAAATAATATGAACTAGGTAAGCAAAGAAAACCGGGTAAACTAGTGCCGTATACTCATTTCCCAAGTGATTTTAGAAAATTGATTGAGATATTTATAGGAATTAGATTCTACACGATTGCTCGCGGATCCCATAGGGTTGGTGTCTACATTAAGTGATGTACTTCGACAATGTCCACTATACTTATCTAATTACCATGACCCTACTTGTGAAAGTCATTTTCGCTTGGATTTACAGGGATTAGTTTCCTTACTGCAGATTCTTCAACAAACTCGGTGTATGGAGATGATACACTTGCAAGTTGTATTGTCTTCCAAACACCTTGAGTGGTAATCTATCAGTGTTTTGGATTTGCCTTTTTACCTACCGAGAGCAAATTATCATTTCAAGGCCAGTTTGCATTATTTCCTCATCTAACAACAGTGAGTAAAGTGGCTGAATGCGTTGACCAGTTCACTTATCTACAAAGTCAAGTCACCTGTAATAGGTTGCTGACTGACGAAATTTTGGCATGGATACGAAATGCTTGAGCGGTTTTCTCCAACTCACATCACATCCGATGTCTGAAGGATTACTGACTATCCGTTGAAGGTTGATTGCACTACACAGCAGCTCATTCTCTCCGAGTATGTGGCTGTGAAACATGATAGTCAAGTGTAGAGGATTTCAGAAGACCTCAGATATTTTATCACTTACAGTGATGGCATCTTCAGTTTGACCTGAGTTCAATTGCATTTGCGCAGATTGATCCGCGACTTCTTCGTTATCCTAACTGTTATTTCACATAACCTCATTGGGCTTAACTCCTGTTTTTCACTTTATGATGTTCAAGGGCTTTTGTTACATTCCATTTTTTAACTTGCTTCTTGGTTCCTCTTTATGATTGGAAACGTGATAGCTTGGATTATTTGGCAGTCATGTGTCACCTGTTTACTTTGACTGATTGCACTATAAAAGGCTTTTGTAAATGATATCTATATGTAAAATCTCAATGAGGTAGAAGAATAAATTTCTGACGTTTGTTAACGTCATGGAAATCGCTTCTTCAGAGAAACTTTTGGTTTGGCAGAGGGTACGCATTAGAAATCCATGCGTAACGTCAGCAATATTGTTTCTTGGGGTTGTTTATACTCTTACATAGGCTTGCGTCGGTGTCAAGTTATAAAGTCAAGATTTTTGAAGACATTTATAGGGGGAATAATGGCAGTAAGTGCGAAATATAAGGATTCGAAATGTCTTTTAATTCTTCAGAGTGAATCATTGGAGTCCTTTTCTGTGGTTACTAACATCTAGTAACTAACCTCTGCCTACCTTAAATATTTGGCAGTTATTAACCACCACCTTTGCTTTCTGAACCCTTACTACATATAACCTTTTTCTAAGTTGAACCTCCAACTGTGATGAATCATCTACGTCTCTCCTCATGATATTTCAAGTTGGAGAGAAGAATTTGTTGTACATCAACTAATTTAAACGAACATTTCGAATTTCCCAAGATTCTGACTTCTTTGAAAGCTTAGAAATTGTTACTTTTGTTACCAACTGAATATATTGCGTATACCAGTAGGTAGTGGATGAGTTGCATGTCGTTTGACCTCGTCATATTGTTTAGGTTATGATCTACAAGGAATTGAAGACCCAAGAGCTCATAAATTTTGTCTTGCTTCAAAGTCATTCATAAGAAAGACAATTCAGCCGGAAGCATAGTTACTAGAGGCATACTGTTCGAAACGTATCAGCTGTAACACTTCCCGATTTCTCGTAATGAAAGTTTTATGCTTAATCTACCTAAACTGCTTCACCGAAAGTCATGACTGTGCTACAGAAACTCATTCCCATTCCATATTTCTCAATATTTTCATATTCTAACGGTCTTTACTACCGTTTACAACATGGAGAAATGGATAATGTGTTTATTAGTTAATTTAATCTTTTTGGAAATGAAGAAGGAATATGTATTTGAAAATTTCGTTCCCTTTACAGTGTATCATACTATTCATATAACCTAATATTCATCCAAATCTTTTGGCCTTCGGATGCCATCTATGGGACAAGTTTTTATCCAGCTATTTGCCTGTTATGGCTACTTGACATGAATGTTGGGTATGGCTGAAGAGTTACAATGACCTCTTCCTGCAAGTTCGGGAATCATTGTTGGTGGTAATCAGCCACAGCTGTTTTAGGGAAACTAGGTCATTTTCTTTGTTTACAGTTTATACTATTAAGTTAACCGGATATCACATTTCAGACTTTGCATACATACTGAATATACCTTATATATTTTTTCGCAGCCATTTTCTTCAAATCTAATTTTCTTCTCTTCCAGGTAGCGTAACGTTTTTTCAGTCTCCAAAGTTATGTTATTTTATAGAAATTAACTAATAAAACTCAATGGCCAATGGTAATAAACCACTTGATGACGAGGTCGTCATATCACGTCGTACTTTGAATACATTCGGTGGTGTTTTCTGCTCAGTTACTTTATCCCAGTTCAGTAGTGTGATATTCCTACGTTTAGGTACGTATACTTTACAAAAATGTTATTCTATTTCATCTTTCAGGGTTTATCGTTGCTCATGCCGGTTTATTGGAGAGTATATTACAACTTTTCCTGTCCTATTTAATCTTGTTACTGACTGTATTTTCTATATGCGCAATTAGTACAAATGGAGCAGTCGAAGGAGGTGGTGTATATTGTATCCTTTATTTAATTTAAATAAAAACTGAAAGAAAAGTAATTATCTTCATTTCGAATGAATATTTCAAAAGGATATGTTTTCTATGAGTTGCTCATTTTCCTCCCAACATGTTTTGTCGTTGTTTAGTCGAAAACATTGACCACTTGGTTCTGTTGCAGTTGTTAGTCTGCACGTGTAATGGTGTCTCTGGGAAATATTAGGTATTGACTCTAATTATAAAGTTGTCTTTCCCTACTCTTTTGGATTACTGTTGACATATTCTGCTTTCAGCCTACATTTAAAATAGTGTTATGCTAGCTGATGTGTTTACCACTGTATATATCCATCTTCTTTGATAGCATTTTCTATACAAACTTCCAGTTGCCAACCCCTCAGTGGAAGTAAGATTACTATAAACAAGTATTCACTTGAAAACTTCAGAGGTGGATAGTCGTACAGGGAAAAAGGAAACTTATACTGTGTACCAACATATAAGATTGCATACGAGGCAAGAGAATTATTCACGATGTTTCAGTCATTCTTTGCAAAGAGTGTTTACATTTTCATTCTTCAAAATTGTGAATATCCTCTGAACACCAATGATTTCTGACTTCTGTTTTGGATTCGGAATAGATACCTTATACTAATACAAAATGAGTTCTTATGTAAGTGTTGTATGGCATGCAAAACGTATCTTCACAAGGCTGTGTAAACCGACTACATTGTTTTGAATCATTCATTTGTTTGGTTCGAAATACGCTGATGCAATCGTCATTTTACAAAAAGCGTACCGTTATTCTTACTTGGTGTAATAATGTTGGCAACCGTTGGTGTATGCAGCTTTGCTTTTCCTAACTTACATCTATTTATAATTACTTAGCCGTGCTTATAAGTTTATGTAAATCGCCTTTTAGCTTCGATCAATTTTTGTTAACACGAATTACCTTTGATAGTACTGAAACTTCCGATAGTTGACTGAAACTGTGAAAAATAAAGGAATGAACTGAAGGTCGGACCTCCAGTTGCAGTATCTTTTGGATTTATGATTGTTTCTGCAATTCAGCATATTTTACGCAGAATATGCTTCGTATTTATATTCACGCTGCATAAATTTATTATTCTGGGTAATAGATTACTCATCTGAGTTGATTTTCATTATGCATTGTTGTTTGCATCTTAAAAATGTTTTGATGTCTTATCGTGAACCCAAATATTACTCTTTTTATGTTGCACATTTTTTCTGGATGTTTACGTGGGTGCATCTATGCCTGTAAACTTTATGAGACACAATTTATACACACCATGTGATAGTTGAGTGAATAATGGTCAGTATAGAAATTTCGTTTGATTATCTAGTTTGTCTGCCACTTACTGGGTCACTTCAGCATGACTCAAAAATCACTACTATGTTGACTTAACATCATCAGTAGTATTTAGGAACCGATTGGTTTTGCATCAAATCACTCGATATTCCATTTTAATCTGTGTATTAGAAATGTCATTTGCTGGATAAGGTTTCGGGCATAATTTATTGTCCATATTCAAATCGGATAACTGTACAACTTTGAGACAGAGTTAGTATAGTGTTATTGCTTCCTGGATTCCACTGCTAGCCACTGCCCATCATTACTATACAGAGTTAATATAGTCCTAATTTTCTCTCCTTTGTGACAAGGGTATTAGTAGTAGTAGTAGTACCTGCATGTATGCTGCTCATTTTTATGTGGGTTTCCGCACTACTTTATCTACCTTTTATGTATATCTATACCGTATTTTAGAACTTGTGCCCCATTGTTCACACATCTAGGAAACGAACTGAACTGGTATTAGACTCTACAAAACTGGCCAAATTTTGCTGGTATATTAATTTTTTAAAGATTCACAACTCTAGGGCACACTGCTTGTCAAAAAGTCATCCAGTTTTGTCTCAACAATAAAATGCTTATCAATTAACCCCCAATAAAATAGTTAAAGCCGTTTGATAGTTTTAATTTTCATCGACACGAACATTATGTAGTGATCTACTCCCCCATGTTTATCATACACATTAGAATTCAGGAATAAATATATGTTAAAAAAATGAATACGAACTTGACGGAAAATGTGTTTTGCAGTTATCATACTTATTTACAGATTGATTTAATGAAAGTTTCTGTGTCAAAAATGAGCCACTTTGTACAGGCCAGCACTGTTCGCATGCTCTACAGATTCTTAACAGGGGCTTGTAAATTTCACACAATTATCACTAGATAAGGGAGTATGTTCAGTGTTCTCTTCTTTCTTTCTAGTTAGCTACGGCTAAATTCCTTAATGAAGAAATTACTCAGTTATGATCAGCAGAACTTTAGGTCCGGAATTCGGTGGAGCTATTGGATCGATATTTTTCTTGGCACAAGTTTGCAGTGCAGCTTTGTATATATCAGGACTGGTAGAAGCTGTATTGATGAATTTCGGTCCTGGGGGTGAGTGAATTGATTTGCAAGGGAATTATGGAGTTATTTTTAAGATGGTAACTTGTTTCCAAAGCTAATGTGTAGAGAATCACTGAGGGTTTGGGGTTCGTTTGTCAATCAAAGCAGCCAGCAGCATAACTAACTGGTTTTACGTAAATCATAAAAAGAAGCCACCTATTATTTGTTCCCAAATTATTATGATTTAGCCTAGAGTCGTTCTCAGTGGCACAAATGAATTGTTTTATCTTCCTCTAGGTGGTTAGACCGTGTGTTATCACTCCATCTAATTTTCGCTATGCTTTGTGGCATCACCATGACTTTTGATATCATCACTTCCATCTTTTAAAAATTCATCTTATTCAAGTCCACATTAGTGTGCTGATATGATGTGTGATAACTTATGTGGTTACATAGTGATACCTGGTGTTATTCTGATAATGTCTTTCTAGATTTATGAAAAGCTAAAACGACCTCCATCAGTACATGTATCATGAAATTATGGAAAAATGGAAATTCGTGATGGATACTATTCTGCATAAACACCTTAGAGGATAGCTCATCTTGAGCTTTAGCACAGTAGCGTTCGCGTAGAGCCTTTAGTAAAACGATGTACTTGCTACAATGGGGCATCAGATAGCGAAGTCGGGTTACCACCTTCAGTCAAAAAGTATGGCTAGCGTCGGATGTCGGCCAGTGTGGTTTTTTTTTCATGATATGATAGAGGGTAAGGTTTTTGTGGATAAATCCACAGTGAAATCTGAAACATGTCTGCTATCCTGTCATGGAATGATTGTGGGATGAGTTATACCTTCACGTGCCACTAACTGTACGACCGTTTCTTGCATAAATGCATTCTTGTTATCTTCATTTTAGAGTTAAGCTCGTGAAGATTCTAAAGTCTCGACTTTACCACTGCTATTTATTTACAGAATTGTGCCCTGTCGAACGAAAGCGTGTTTCAGAAAGAGCAGAAAATTTCTACCATCGGACAGTAGCCGTTAGCTGAATGTTCTATATTTGTCCACCATTGAGTTTGGGTCAATAGTTACGTTGTTAAGTTATATCTTTCTGCACACCAAAGGTTTGTGCTTGTTTGGAATAAGTAATTGCTCGGAAAAATACCATTATCGATCCACCAGGTCGGTATTCAGAACATACTATCTGCTTACCTGGAACAGTTTGTATCCTTGAACCAGCTACTATTTATACAAACTTCCAGGTCACAGCCATATTTTTACTGATAACATTTCACTGACTGAAAGTATCGACTGATTCCACTGTCTCATAATTAAAATGACCTAGGGATCCACCAGCAGTTTATTCTCATAAGTTTAATGATCTCAATTTTTCGTGTATGTACAGAAGGCATAAACTAAAATAACATGACTTGATGTTGTCTGTCTTGTATAGAAATAAATTAATCAACGGTGTGAAGAAAATTTTATTTGTTTACTGACCAGTTTGTAAGGTTGATTGTAAGACGATTTCTGACAGGTTTTTTCCTCTTGTTTATGTAATAAGAGAGAGAGAGGGAGGGGGAAGGAAGGTGCACCCGACAACCTTGTGTACATCCATGCGGTATGCAATGACCCACACCTATTGTATGAGGGCTAATGATGCTGCCTGGCTGCCCAAACCTCGGTAGGTGGAGTGGGCTTCGGATCCGTGACCCACTGGTTGGAAGTCAACTCTCTAAACCAATGAGCCACAGCTCCGTTTATGTATTGAGTTAGTCATTTACATATTCAAAAGTCATACGATAAACAAACCGCATTAGTTTTTTTGGTAGGATCTGCTACATCTACAGACAGCCACATTTCTCAAATTATTAGCTCTTGTTCGCAACTATCACACGTCATCAAATTTTATTATCTACTTGTATTTATCGTTTCTCCAAGGTATTTTATTCGATGGTGTGCTGCCTGGTGAAAACCATTGGTGGAGTTACCTTTATGCTCTAGTTGTACTCACGTTGTGTATGTCTATCTTGTTAATTGGCAGCCAAATGTTTGCTCGTGCTCTGTCTTTCATACTAGCAGTAAGTTTCACTGAATGCATGTAAAATACTCCAAACATTACATTTTTTTATCATTTAACCGCATACGTGCTTGTTTATGAGTCACAATTACTGTGTAAAGACTAGCAATTCTACCACTGTGCCTTGTGTATCACGTGTATCGGGGTTTCGGAACTCGTGACTTACTAATTGGAAGTGAAGTGCCTAAACCCTGTGAGTCAGTTTTTCTGTCGATTATCATTGCGTAAATTTTAAAGGGTTCACTTTCATAAAGTTGTTGTAAACTTGCATATATTTATTAGTGCTGTTTCATGTGAATATTTATTAGGATGGTTAGTCTGACTGAGCAGTATGGTTTTTGACAGATGAATTGGGGTACTTCATGAATTTATTCAAATCTCGTACTACCCTCATTGATTTTAGACATCCGGCGTTTCATCGATGCATTTTCATTCGTACAAAAGAGCAGGTAGAAATTCTCGAGAAGCTATCCTTTTTTAAATTTATTTTCCCACTCGTATAATTTTTCAAATACTGTATATCCATATTGTCGGTTCATTATCGTTACGCACTTCATCAAACTTCACAAGTGGGACTAATTTTCCAGGTTGTACATTGTTCCTGTAAGTAACTATCTGTTTCAAGGGTTTGTGTGAAGAAGTTGCATTCATATGTATTCCCTCTTTGTTTCGAACTATTCAAACAGAGTTGAATAGCTACAGATTTCGAGCGTATAACATTTTAAACAGTGTAAATGCACTGATCCTATTTTATTCTCGATATGATTATGATGCGAATTCTCTATCACATTAGTTAACAGTGAAGTCTTTAGATATTAAGCGTGTTATTGTTGTACATCCTTTTCATCATCTTTGCTTCTCTTGTTAAATTCATCTCGTTGAACTGTTCTCGAATTTCACAAGTTCATCCGATGTACCTTCTGTATTTCTCTAATCACCATGATCATTTTCATCATTTCAACCGAAGATAAATATTTCTCCACTCACTTGGGTTGTTTTCTAAGTAGGAGATTTCAACCTACTGAGATTGTTGTTATTTTGTTCAAATTAGAAATGTTTCCAACTTCATATAACCAATCAGCTGGCGTATATAAATCATTCATAAATTATTTTCATCAAGGTAATTTGCTCATGGAAACTTACTACTATTTTGACCATTACTGACAACCTTATCGATTGTCCTTGTTTGTAATAATACGATCTTCGTGAAGAGAGAAAACTAGGCTTATAGTAAGAAATTTAGCAAGTGAACACTCAGACATAACTTGATACTTTTTTTGTTGTTTACTATTTGTTTTGTCTTCATCACTTTTTAAAAGCTTACCGCATAAAACTGCTTCTTATCATACAAATTTGTTCTATGAAGGGAATTTCCACCTCTTGTTAACACTCTTATTTCCAAATTCAACACATGTTATCAGAGTTTGTTTTAACATGTTACTTGTATGACATTTAGGTTATAAAAGGGTCTAATAATATGTTTATATTCTGCTTTATCAATGCAAAATCAACTGTTTTGTATGATTGTGACAGCTTCCTATATAGAGCTTTATTTTGTATTTCTTTTGTTAAGGCTTTCCAAAATGATTTAGTTGACTTGTTTCGTTGCGGCTTAAAGTAAGGCGTTGTAGATACAAGTGGGTATTCTGTCTGTGAAGTTAACTGAATAAATGGCGATTTCCATTGTTGCAAAATGCAAATATCCACATCCTCTTTCGGTTTCCTTTAACTAGGTTCTGCACTCTGAGATTTGTGTACATTGAAAACTAGTTGAAAACTAGAAGCGGATTAGTTTTCCGTCTTTTACTGTTTAACATATTAAAAATGTAATTTTCAGTGTATCCTATTTTGGAAACTATCAGCCAACAGAAAATCCTAAGTTTAAGCATAAATTTTTTATGTTTTATGCTCGGGTTATCTAGAAATTAAACCTAAAACAATCCCCAATAGGTCTTGCATGAGGTCAAGGATCGCTTCACACGTATGGCTATTTATTTGTGAGCTGCCCCTAAACAAACATTAGCAGTAGAGTAAAAGGATTCAAGAATGGTGATCCCTATTTAAAAACGAATGATACTAAGAATCTGGTGAACTGACAGACGCATACATATACAAACATAGACAGACCAAATCAAAATAAGGCATGGCATTATTACGCACCGCTCTAAGTTGCCACACCTCATATCACCATAACAAGTGACAATGCATCAAGATGGAAGATAAAGAAGTGAAGTAGGGAAGAGTCAGAGTGGTAGAAAGTCATCAAGAGAGAGCAAGAAGGAATGAGGGAATAATGAAATTCAGTATGGGGATCTAGATGAAGATGATGTGTGAATGCGTCTGTACCATCGAGGTTGATTCTGAGCTATGTCACTCAGAGTCTCCAACCACTGGTCCCTGTTGTCATGCGGACCCCGACCATGATGTCTACATCCTCCCCCTAAACGACCCATACGGACAGTGAAAGACTTCATGAACTGAAGCCATGCTTTTTGTGTAGTTGACTGTTGAACCTACCTCAGTTCACACTATGCGGTGAGGGGGACGGTTGCTAGGTATGCGTGACATGTCCCAGTCATCTCAGTTGGTGTAGATTAACAGCGTGATGAAGTAACTTTCCTTTTGTAACCGAAGCTGTACGCCTTGTTTTCTAGATTACTGAAATGGTGACACCACGACATGTGGTGTATGCTACGAAGGTAACAGTGGTTGAAGTGTTAAAGTGTTTTCATGTCCTCTGCTTTTAATGATCATGTTTCATAACCGCATAGTGGAACGGAGTTATGTGGAGTGCAATACACTTAGCCTTTAAATAGACAGTTGGATATGACGTCGGTGCTATAAATGTCATAATTGTCGAAAGGCAGACGATGTTTTTGTATTTGTACGTAGATGTCGTCGACCACTGATGCACTGGGGCTAATTTGACATCCTGGGTAAATGGCGTGGTCAACGTACCGAACCATTTCACTCCCGATTGTTAAGGGAGGGGACTAGCGGAAACCAGTTGTGGAGCAACGATTTGCAAATGGGTGGCGAGAAACGCATGCCAAACATTCTCAGTGTGCGACTCAAATTTTTTGGAAGACTCTACATCTAGTTAGCAACTTCATGTTACAGGACTATGTCAGCTGTGTATTTTAGAACTGTTGAGGATTCTCTTAGGAAGGGGTCAATTTGTGTGAGGTTAGATGACGAAAGGGGAGCGTGGGAAATTTGTACTATATAACGGAAGCTGTTTTTTGTCTTACCACTTTTCAACTGACCTTTCTGGTACAGTCTAGCATCAAGGGATCGAGTGTCCCACCATCATAGCTCGTTGGATCATTGTGATGTACCATCCTGACCACTACTTAGAGGTAGAAGCTATGGATCGAGAAAAACTACCATTGGTTGGATGAGCCAGAGAGTAGTACTATGGCGTCATGTGCAATACAATACCAGATCAACAAGCTGACATGGAGTGATGGCTAGGCGAAGCTCTCAAGTTTTGTTCTTTTATTGGCAGGAAAAGTGGAATCGCCTTGAAAGTGTTTTAGAAGGAATGGCAACTTGGTTATTTCTCTTTCGTGAGAAGAAATACTTTAATTCACATTTCAAAGTTGATTTGGTCTAAGCTGAAGATTACTTCACACTGGAAGTCATATTTTCAGTACAGTATTCCTCTCAGCATATCAGTAACTATGAGTGAGTTTGACCTGAAATGATTATAAGAGTAGGTGTATTAAAATGATGGGGCTTCGTTTTTCTGGTTTCTCTCCAGAAGGTGCTCAATCACAAATCATACACATTTTTGTGTTTATATGTAATGTGTTAGGTAGTTGAAACGGATAGAACATGGTTACAATTTATCATTACTCCAAAGAAAATAAGTTTGTTAAGCTTAGTGAAGATAAAGGAATATATTATAGAAACCGAATATCGATAAATTGTGTTTGACTAACTGATTCTGTAACCTGAAAAACTGTTTAAAAGATGAAATCTTATTCAAAAGAACAAAAAGGAGAGTTGATATTATATGTTAAACCAATGGATTACTATCGGTTATTGAGTCAGTCTGAACGAAGTTGTTTTTCACAAGTATCAGAAGCGTTTGTTTGGTTTTGATCAATCTGGTCCACTTCTGACATGAGTGAGGTAGCCTAATATCTACTAAGGATTGGAGCTATACTATCACAATCCTCTAGATAATGTTTTCAGTAATACTAAACAGACAGGCTTAAGTGACATGGTAATTTGGATATTTGTGTAACCATCTGAGTTGCTGTTCTTTGCATCAGCACATCAACGGGAAAGCCAACAGAAGGAGACGCATTATTATTATTATTATTATTATTATTATTTTCCTTTGGGTTCCTAGTGGAACATAAGACTTTAGTAGCATGTCTCCATCCCACTCCGTCCTGTGCAATCTTTTTAACCTATCTACATGACTGCCTAGAAGCTTTTTCATTTCTTCCTCACACCATCTCCTCCATGTCACCCTCGGACGCCCAACTCATCGTTTCCCATCTGAGTTCCACTCGAGGGCGTGGCCTGTCACGTGATGTCTCGGAATGGTCGTCTCGGTGTATGCCGAATCCATCTCCATTTTCTGCTGCATTGTTAAGGGAGGGGACTAGCGAAAACCAGTTGTGGAGCAACAATTCGCAAATGGGTGACGAGAAATGCATCCCAAGGATTCTCAAATGGCCACACTCATGGTGTCCAGGAGACTCGTCATCTTCACCTGAGAAGACTATGTCGTCCACGTACTCCACATCTGCCATGGGTTGTCTTGCGAAGGAACCATTTCGTGTGAAGTGAGATGACGAAATGGGAGACTTACATGTGTACGTCTGTGATAGTCGAGTGGGTATTGTTGTGGACACCCCTGGATGTAGACATCTTGTCTGATAAGTCGCTGTAGACTGTATCGCGCCCTCAGGTTTTTGATCACTGAGGCTTTCGGAAAGTGACGCATTGTCTTGGCATCCTTTTTGTTGAAGACTCTGCAATGGG